ATATATATATATACAGTATATATATATATATATGTGTGTGTGTGTGTGTGTGTGTGTGTGTATATATATATGTATATATAAATAAAACATGAAACAGAGTAGACTGTTAGAACAAAATTTATTTTAACATGAATATTTCAAACTGTCCTCAGTTCCTTTTCAACATGACTAATTTATAAACTCTGTACAAGTTGACGGCATATCTATTAGTAACTGGTCAGAATTAACTATGATGACTTAATTATAATAACAATGTGTATCATGGTAATAAACAGCAGGTGGCTGTAAGGCAAGAAACTATTAAATGAGCAGTACTGTACTGACAATTATAAAAATGTCATGTTATAAATAGTATGATTCATTATAATAAACATAGGCCTAATGGATTCAGTGTAAATATAGGCTACAATAGAAAATAATAGTGAAAATTGCATAATAATAATAATAATAATAATGATAATAAAGATAATAATAAGAAAAGTAATAATAATAATAATAATAATAATAATAATAATAATATAGTATAACTACGACATATGGATGATATAGACTCAAATAAATCAGATAGAAAGTTGATATTAGTGTGATTAAAATGAATAGATTGTGATAATCTGTATAATTACAGTACAGAGGTGGTAGGCCCTATATAAAGTATAAGCATACATTATTAGGCTTTACTTTTTAGAATTTTTTTTTATTATTTTGTTTTGACTTTCAAACAACCACTTACATAAACACAATAGAACAATTTCCCTCATAACAAATGGCTGGATAAGACTATATATATACTGTCTCTTATACACATCTAGATGTGTATAAGAGACTTTTTTTAAAGCTAGTTTTTTAAAAATAGTTTTTATTGTTCGACCACTGGCTCTGAATCAAAAACTCAGATTGGAATCACAAAAGAAAATAACGTCTTTCTTTATGTACAGGATGGAACTAGGCCTACCTACCAAAGTCAAATAAGGTGTAATGTTATGTTTAATTTACAGTACTGTTTGTCAGATATTTTTTTCAATGTGTTTTAAACAGTTTCAAGTAGATAAAAAAAAATTAAAAGCAAACAAAAGTTTCTTTGAAATAAATAATTATCAAATGAATGGTTGTTCCAGTTGTCTTTTGGAGACCGCTTTTAGCTTCAGTTTTCATTTAGAGGTTTCAGGCTCGGTTACCCTCTAATTATGCTATTTGGAGACCACTTGTAAGCTATGGTCTAGCTGAATCCCGAGACCTCCCCAAATTCCAGGTGCACAGTCTCGAATTGGAGGGCGGACTTCATGATGTGCTGCTAGAGTTCCTATAGAGCTATTATAGGAACTCCATGTGCTGGGAAACTTAATTAACAAAGCTCTGTGATTGGCTGGTCGCCTTGGAAATCTCTATGGGGACGTGGTATACAATCCTATTGTATACAATTCCACTACACGATCATGGCCGATAATTGATGGTTTGCACTTCAATGGACAAAAACACAGACATATGATTTTTTAGTGAGAAGAAGGAACTAGTTTTCGTTGATAGATACTTCACTCCTGATCCATCATGGCTGAAGAAAGTGTAAAAGTCGCCGTCCGAGTGAGACCTTTCATATCCTTTTCTACGTACAAGTGGCCCGGCCAGGCCTCTAGCTAGCGTACGCATGTTATTATTTGTTACCGAAACCTCCGCTGAAACCAAGGTGTTGTTATGAAACAATCGATTATATAGACTAGACTACAACCAGCCTAGGACCTATGTTGTACGTTTCTCTTGGCGTACTTCCAAAGATAGGCTACCAACCATGAGTAGTCTGTGTTTGTGGCTGATATCTTTTACCTAACAGAGATTTACCTTTAAAACCAGTTCTTAGGAGTAGGCCTAGTTAATAAATAATTTATTAATAAAAATGATAAATGATGATGCTGTGATGATGAATAATTAATCATGATTATCAGATGATGATGATAAAATGATAAACTTAAGGCTGTGGAAATTTTTCCGAAAGCCTTTACGTATCCTTAGGTGTTGATTGGTGGAGCTGGGTTGAAAATGCTGGAATTTTTCAACTCTAGTTAAAGAATTTACTATACAGCAAAGAATCCTTAACATATTTAATACAACTCTCGCGAAAAAGCTCGGAGTGCGCAACTGATCATCGACATGCAGGGTACAACAACCACAATAAAAAATCCAGCTGATCCAAACGGAGAGCCTAGGAAATTTAATTTTGACCACAGCTACTGGTCACATGATGGCTTTGAGGAAGATGCCAATGGCTATTTAACACCAGTGTCTCCACGGTATGCAGATCAGGTATGTACATATCTAGTGTGCAAAAGTTGCTAAAAGATTATGTTTTCTTTTTGAGTTCCACATTTTCCCAGTAATAGAGCGAGCCAAGTATTGTTGTCTTGAGGCTTTTCAAAGTAGTAACATCCTAAACATTCTATTCTGTGCTTGGCTGTAATTTAGTGTAGAGCCTCATTATCTAGATGCATTTACTGACTCTTATTTCAGTTCTTATAAATTGTGCAATGAAAAACTTTTCTCTCTTTTTCAGAAACGTGTGTTTAGTGACCTTGGTAATGGTGTTCTAAAGAATGCTTGGGAGGGGTACAATTGCTCCCTATTTGCATATGGACAGACAGGTTCTGGAAAATCCTATTCGGTCGTTGGATATGGTGCAAACAAAGGTATTTAATTCATGGTTTATTGAATCAGTAAATCATATTGCTGACATAAATATGGTAGCGTTAAACACACAGGTTTATTGCAGGCATGAGCAAACCCACTTTCCCGACGCCCAGGACAAGTGTTTTTTTATGGTCGGACAACAAGAATTTTAGGGACCACCTTTCCATGGGCAAGCACTTTTAGAATAGGCTACTTCACCATGTAATGCGTATTGCTTTCACAGTACTTATAGAAAGTCTGACTCTTGACAATACGCAGCATATTTTATTAACAAATTGTCGGCGCACAAAGAGATATCAAATAGAAAACCGACTATGCCATGGTTACGCACCGCACTGCTTAGAGTCGCCAACGCTCCCGCAATTTATTGACGGTTTAAAAGAAAAAATGTTGGCGTACTAAATATAAAATTTGTTATTTTCTGCAGTAAAGATTGAAAATTAATTCTTAATTTTTAAATGTTAGCCAGACCTGTCATGTGTAGACCTACAACAGGTACATATTTCGCACAATATCGTACCTGTTAGCCATCAGCCGTCTGGGCCTACTGCACGTGGTCTGTTTACAATATAACTTTGCACTGGTCTAGTCTAGACTATGCCATGGTTACGCACCGCGTACAAGTGCATATTTCAAAGGTACTTGTCCAGGGACAAGTGAAAAAATATGAAATTCCCTCATGCCTGTATTGTATGACCTTAATATAATAATTCCCCCAATTAAAAAATTCGGGATCCACCCCTGTATGTAAGTTTGTGTGTGGGACAAATGCTTATTCCTGATGCTGTTCTGATTGGTCAGTTGTTTGACATAACGGGAAGGTCCAATGTGATCACTTGTGTGACTATACTGTATTAGAAAAAGGTTCTTGCACAGTAAAGAATGAAGATGTGTTTGAATGTTATCAATTGAATTTTCTATCACAGGTATTGTACCAATGTTCTGCAATCAGGTTTTTGTTGGTATTGATGAGAAGAAGGCAGAAGGTACTAAGACAGAGTATGAGGTAAACTTTAGTATGCTGGAAATCTACAACGAGCAGGTCCGAGATCTGTTGTCTCCTTCTAACAAGAAGAAAGGAGGTCTACGAGTGAGGGAACATCCCAAGAAAGGGTTCTACGGTAGAGACATTCCATTTTACATATGTATCAAATACGAGAATAAAAGTTACTTAATCATATAAGGAAAACAAAAATGATTTTTGTTTTTCATAAATGAGTACATTGTTCTGATCCTCCTCAAGTATTCCAAGGTACATTATTAATAATATGTAATATAGGATCCATTTTCATTTAATAAATTTGAACTTTAAAATGTCATTGCGTACAGTAATGAAAATATGAGTTAATAAAAATAGGTCAAAGACAACTAAAGTATATAATATAGCTCACAAAAAAATTGCTTTCATATTCCACATTGACTTGTTGTTTTTTACATCAGATTGGGCCTGGTTGCTTCTAGGATGGTAAAATGTCTTGGAAACACTAGGTGCTGTACACTTAGAATTGTATTTAATCTGTATATAAAGAAATTGCATTACTGTATAAGCCACACTTTGATTAAAAATTGTAACTTTGTTTGGTCTTACACAGCTGAGGGGTTACGTACCGTCCCAGTTAACAGCTACAACGACATCGAAAACCGAATGGAAGAGGGTACACGCAACAGGACAGTAGCAGCTACACAGATGAACGCTACAAGTAGTCGTGCTCATACAATTGTAGGCGTTTCATTCACCCAGAAATCGTTTAATGATGCAGGACAAGAGATGGCTAAGGTTTCCCTTATCAATTTAGTTGATTTAGCAGGAAGGTAACCAGTCTAAGGCCTTTGGCCCAGTTTATATATTTTTTTTTCCTTTTTGTATAAAAAATATCAATAAATTTTTTATGATTTTGTAATATATAATATTCTATTTACAGTATACATTGCATTAAAAATGCCTCAAATCAGCCATTGGCTGTTATAAAATACGAAATATAGTTTGTAAAAGTTTATTATTGTGTTTATGAAAGATAATGAAATAGAATAGATAATTACATCAGTGAAATTTTTAGCTATGCACTGGCCTGTTCTCTCCCTCCATTTGTGTTACCTGTGGCCTATGATATTCAATTACTGTATTATATTTGTCTTTTTTGTATACTCCAACAGTGAGAGGGCTGATTCAACTGGAGCTACTGGGGATCGACTGAAAGAGGGCGCTGCCATTAACCAGTCCCTCTCTGCTCTTGGTAATGTCATCGCAGCTTTGGCAGATGCTAGCCAAGGAAAGAGAGTCAAAGGTGAGTTAACTGGAGAATATTTTTTTCTATGCTGTCAATTATAATAGTTTGTATCTGAGACAATATACAGTAGTTGTCTCAGGTTGTATATAGACAACATTGCATAGTGTTCCCAATGTAGATCTAAATACCAAGTGTTGCGCGTTTACCATAGATTGTAAAAGATGCTAATATAACAATCTAAAATTTGTATTAAACAAATCTGTTATGATATATATAAAATAGAAATGATATAAACTAGGAAGTCTGCTAGAGCGAAAAAATCGCCAACTCAACCAGGATTCAAACGTTTGATCTCCAGCTTGTAATATAGACTTCTTAACCAACTATGCTACTGGGGCTTTGTAGTAAATTTGAAGTAACTTTTCCTATTATTGTTGCATATTTTGAATAAATATTCCTGTAACCTTTCAATGGTAAATGTCTTTGTATTTGTAGTTCCGTACAGAGATTCAGTGTTAACAAGGCTTTTGAAGAATGCCCTCGGTGGAAACAGCAAGACCATTATGATCGCTGCCCTGAGTCCTGCAGATATCAATTATGAAGAAACCCTATCGACACTGAGATATGGTAAGCTATTAGTATTTAGATTCTTATCTAACAGCAACTAAATCTCCGGTCAGCTAGGAGATTCCATGTTGTTGAGGAGTGAAGCTGCAAGGTCTTGGTTAGGCCTCTTATTTTTCAACACCTGATTACAAGGATTTTTGTTCTCACAACTCTCAATAACCACAGATCCTGTGCTGTGATAAGTGAGTGTAGTTTAATTTAATATTAATATGAAAAAATGAAAAGTACAATTCTCATATATGAGGCTAAAGTGGAGTAGATTTTAATTAGCAATGATAAAAATGCTGTTATTTGAAAGATTTGAACCCAGAACCTTGAGGTCAGTTGGCAAGCACCATGAGATAACCATAATGCCTTTACAATATTCATTATTAAAAAATACAATAATAAATTTTAATATTATTGTTATTTCTGTCATTAATATTACTGTTGTCAATGTAAATAACATTTTACAGCTGACCGTGCAAAGCAGATCAAAACGAAGGCAGTCGTGAATGAGGATCCAACCGAGAAATTAATTCGTGAGTTGAAAGAGGAAAATGAGAAACTACGAGAAGCATTGAAGAATGGCGGTGTAATCTCAATGAAGGCAGACGATGATGATGATGAGGCCGGAGGAAAAGGAGGTCAGCGTAAATTATGGAAATGTTTATTCAATTTTCATTGTGGTATTTGCTGTAGTGTTGCCTAGATGCACTCACTAACTATTATGTAATTACTTAAGTCATAAGTAATGTCATTCATTTTGGTAGATGTGGAAGCTATAAGGAAGCAACTGGAAGAGGAAATGAAAGCTGTGTTGGAAGCAAATGAACTTGAAATGGAGATGATGAAGAAAACTTGGCAGGAAAAGTTAGATAGTGCTGGAAAGGTAAGGAAACTTGCAGTGTGAGAAAATCACCTATATGCTGCCCTCTCGTGCCTATATTACTACAAAACTTTCTTGAAACATGTCTGAGAGTGCCCTCTTATGGCAGAGATTCTCTTAAAACAGATGACAGTTTTAATTTGTATTTTGGTAACCTAGCAACAAGGGTAGCAAATTTAATTGGTTACATGTTTGATTACTGATAATCAATTTTTCATTATTCTTGAATAACAGAAATTAGATAAATTATGTATCATTGCTAAAAATATATATAACAATGAATATATATTTTGTAGGGCGATGAGGGTGAAAAATCCAAGAAGGAGGAATGTAAGACAACGCCTCATCTTTACAACCTTAACATTGACAACCAGCTCTCCGGTATGATAGTGCATATAATAAAAGAAGGTACCCTGAAGGTGGGCAGTACAAAAGCTAGCCCCCAAGCAGACATTGTCCTGTCAGGCCTAGGGTAAGTAGAACATGTAGGTATTAGACTGTCTGGGTAGGAAGACAAAGTGGAGCTTTGTGTTGGTGCTCATGACAGTAATGCTGGTGCTGGTAGTGATAATGATTTTGTTAAAAAGTAATAATAATAATAACAACAATAATATTAATATTAATAATAATAATAATAATAATAATAATAATAATAATAATAATACTAATAACAATAATAATAATAATAATAATAATTATTATTATTATTATTACTATTTTTATTTTTATTATTATTATTATTATTATTATTACTAATATTATTAGCCATTCTTTGGTAGAATATTTGGCTACCAGTGACTACAATATTAATATATAATAATTATCTTATTAATTACTATTATTTGTAATGATATCGATTAATATGAATTTATTTACATTTTTACTTTTAATATGCTAGAATTCAACCGGATCATGCACTGTTGGCTGTTGAGAATGGCAACGTGTTCCTGGAGAAGGTAGCGGATGGCAAAGTGCTTCTGAATGGGGAACCCTTGACCTCCAAACAACAGCTGGATCACAATGACAGGTATGTAAACAATATGATAATGAAGCTATTAAATCCAGATTTTAAACGTTTCCACAAACTGTGATTATTTAAGTACTATCTGTAAAGGGCATTTACTTTTCAACAATTATGCTTCATTTTTTGTAAAATGCCCTTTAAAAATGTGACCAAACCGTAACTGTACATTCTTCACTTTGCTGGACCACATAGCCCGCAATGAGAAAGAACAAAATTGCATGACTTTTATTTGAGGGAAATTAACAGATAAAAATATCTATGCAATATATATAAATCATATATTGATAATGTTGTTATTATTAGTACATTTGTTGAAAGAGTATCTACTATAAATATCTTAGGTTCATCTTCAATGACAAACTCAAATGGGGAGATCACATTGATAAATGATAAATCACATTTCATTTTTTTTGTGTGTTTCAGTATTTCAACGTTTTTTGTATCTGATGTTTTGAATTACATGCAAGGTTTTAAATTTTATCGAGCATTCAATTTCTTCATTTGGAGATAATAACGTTATTCTGATTCTGATCTATGATTAATTTTCTTGCAGGATTATGTTCGGTTCTAACCATATGTACGTGTTCCAACACCCTGGTCTGAAGGCAGCCAACCCAGACAACTACAGGATACCAGTCACGTATGAAATGGCTCAGCAAGAGATTGCACAGAACAATGGATTTGATATGTCCTCCAAACAATCAGTAGGTGAGGAAGAATGAATAGGGGGTGGGGGTTGCCTGCTACTGTGCCAATTTTAATGAGCATAGTACTGCAATTTGTTTATGATAAATGTTTTATGACAGTTTTTGGTAATATTGATTTAACTTGTTTAAATGTTCTAGAGGAGATGATATTACAAGAAGACCTTATCGACCTGATGCCTGCTGTGGAGGAGGCTAATGCTATTAGTGAGGATCTTGATCGAAAAGTCAAGTTTGAAATTGTGGTCGTCTCACCAAAAGCAAGAGGGCTCACTCATGGTAGAACGGAAGTAAGTGTGCATAATAATGGTAAGAGACACTTCCGGAGTGTCAATCAAACTTAACAACTGACCAATCACAAAAGGGCCAGGCGTACGCACGTGTCCAACAAGCACACATGCTGTCCCACAAACACACGTGTTCACGTATGTCTTTACACTGTCCTTTGTGGGACCTTAGCAACAATATCCAAGGGGTGGGGCTTAGCGGAAAGGTCCATTTTAATGGTGGGGATGATGATGATAAAGACAGTGGCAGCAACAAGGATAATTATTGGCTGGAAAAAAAAAAAATTCTTTCTAATTATCAATTGAAAGTAATAACTTAAAGAAATAAGATTTCAATATGTTTTAATATATAAATTATGATTTTTAATATATAAATTATGATTTTTATTATATAAAATATTATTTTTAACTGAAATTAACAAATAAAGACTTATCATTTATTAAATGATTTGTGCAGGTTTGTGTGAAGATGCGCAACATGGTATCTGACCAGGAATATATTTGGTCAAGAGACAAATTTCAACGACGCAAGTACCTTATGCAGGAGATGTATGAGAACTACTCAGATGGAGAAGACTGGCAGCTGCCAGATGTATGTCAATATTTCTAACGTTACAGTATTTATTCCAATTCTTTCATTTGTTTACTTCTTTGTTTTTTTGTTTCTTTCCCCTTACAGTAATATGGTTATGGTACATATTATTTAAATGCAGTATTTATGCTAAATATTAAAACATTATTCCCCATAATGTCAGAAAAAAGTGATTACGAATATTCCAACATTATAATTTTTATTTATATTTATATATCCACATTGCAGGAAAAGGATCCCTTCACAGAATCACCCGATACAGAGATCCAAATTGGTCATGTTAACATCTACCTGCAGAGCATGGCATACATGGTAAGGTTGTTAAGTATTATAGTGGTGATGGGATATCCTCTTGAACATGGGAGGGCCAATTGGTGGTGGAACTTTCCTGAAATATGGGTGGTGCCAATGTGAAAGGGATGTGGTCAGTGTTCTATTGGTTGTTAACCAGGAACACCTCAGTTTTGTTAAGCTTTTTTCTATAATGATCAGGTGTCATCTATTATGGGCGTGGCCTACCTGCAGACATTATATCATAACAATTTCGACCACATACCAAAAAATTAAAAATGGTCTCAAATGATAAAACAGGTGTAGTCTAAATGCACATAAGCATGGCCTACCCAAAACTATTCAACATTATATCATTGACAACTGATGTCTACCCAAAAATTAAACGTGTTATCAAATGTTATAATATGTGTAATATGTATGAGCATGGCCTACCTATTCAGTATTATTATCATGGATAAATGATGTCTGGTCTAAATAGAATTCAGACCATATACCCAAAGATTAAACACGTTCTCTAATGTTATAAAAGGTGTGGTCTGAATACCTGTATGGGCGTGGCCTAACTAAAGACAAAATCAAAACATTATATCCTTGACAGATTGAACTGAAGGACAGTCTTGAGGTTTACGATATGAAAGGGAAAGAAATTGGAATGATGGATGTGGAAGTAATTCCATGCAATGCCAAGGGCAAGGAACTCACAGAAGCCGATGATATGTTTGTTGATGACCCCAAAGAACTTATTTCCTCCAGTGTTAACTTTGTTGTGAAGATCCAATCTATCATAGGATTACCAAACAAGTATACGGTATGAAACATCAGTATATTTTAGAATACCAGTGCCAATAAAAATTAAATTTCAAAAATATGGTCATGACATAACTTCGTTCAGCCTACATTTAACCTGTCGAAAATTTAAACTTTGTTGATCTGTCTGTTCTATGATTTAGAGTAAATGATCAAATCGGTTTCTCTCAAATGTTAGCATATTAAATAAATAATGACTATGTAGTACTTAACTTTTACTTAATATTTTTGTAAACATTTTTTTCTTTGCAGGACTTATATTGCAGATATAATATGTTTCTAGATGTAGAACCCACCAAAACTAAAGTTATCCAGAACACATCCAATCCAGAATTCAAACACAGGAAGAACTTTTCATTTAACCCAGCAACTTCACAGGTAATTAATCAGTTTTTAATTTTAAAGCTGTCTTATAGTTCCATACAGGCACTGACAATGTAAAAAGGTTAATTAATTAATAAATAAATGATTATTAATAATAGTAATGATATTTATGTAGTAGTAATGAGGTGATCTTTTTATCAAAATGACAACTTTTTTCAACAATATAGCTGGTGGACTACCTAGCAAACGGCATCTTGGCAGTGCAGGTATGGGGCAAGTACAAGACTGAGCAAGCACATCGAACCAAGAACATGAGCACAAAACAAATGGTCATGTCAGAAACGCTGGCAAAAGGTCGCAATCTTAATGTCAATGGTGTCAAGGTAGGTTCTAAAAAGACAATTTGCTAACATACATGCTGATGGTGGGAAAGACAATTATTTGCTTAACAGGCATTTGGAACATCTGACAATTAAAGTGGTTTCACTGATGGCCATCCACCAACAGACATCAAAAAGATATGAAAATACATGTTGGTATGCAGAATGTCAAGCTGATGAACTGACCTGTTACTGGAACGTCTGTCAATAGTTCAACTTACCCAATTCCAATAAATGTTTATGTTTACATATTTTGGAAAATCATTGGTTGGTACATTATAGCAATATTATGGGAAAAGAGGTTTTGTCAGACCCTCATAACAGAAATCCTGTAGACTGAAAAACTACAATCAAAATTACTGATGAAAACTATCAAATTTTGTTTTAAATGTTATGTTTCTTTTCTAGGCTTGTGATCCAGAAAAAGTAGCCCTTAAATTTCAGATGACTGCATTCAAGAAGCAACAAGAGAGACTTAGCACCAAAGTGGTATGTCACAGCCTAATAAAAAAAATCTCTTTCATCTAGTTATGAGAAAATAAAGTATTCTTTGACTAAACCTGTTTCCCTTCATATTTCAGGCCCAGATCCGCAGATGTGTACAGGTTGCCGAGGAGCATAAGAAGGCTAGAATCCAGACTCTACTCCTGAAGGAAGTTCTTAATGCCCAGAATCCTAAGACAGTAGAAATGGCTATCAAACGAATCCCACAAGATGATGGCTGTGGGCCTTACCGTGAGTACCCCATTTGCAATGCCAATAACTAGACTGGATATTATTGGTCAGTGTATCATATCATATCCTATTTATTTTAGTTATATCATATTTAGTCTCTAAACATGTCCCAGTATTTTTCTGGTCATGTTAAGTTGTAATATTTCGTTTTTTGAACTTTCAAAACCAAACATAAATTATTTTTTTTTTATCAATAGGTGCAATCTTCCTTGATCATTCCTTGGCATTGGGAATGGTATTATTTAAAGATTGGATTTGTTATTGTTTGTTTAAATTTGTTTATTTATAGAACCTGAATCCCAGCAATCAGCCATGTGTAAGCTGATGTAATTTACCATCATCCAAATGAAGTTAAATTCAACATCACTGAAACTTTTGATGATGGTGTACATCACACCAGTATTTGACAATGGTTAACATCGCCACAAAAATAAAGGACAACAATTAAAGCAGTCTCATATCTTTATATTGTTTTGGTGTGTATCAGTAGTGGTCATCCTTCTAGGCTTCTTCGAAGTGTAAATATCCGGTCAACCTCAATATGCAGTGTATACCTCATTATTGTTGATATTGCTATTATTATCTATTTTATTATTGTTGCCAGTCAGTTGTATTATATATCATATATTATAGTCAATCCTATATTATTATTTGTTATTGTTATTTTTATTATTAATATTATTATTATATACAGTAGTGGTTGTTTTATTACATTAGTTACCATAATGGATGGATGGATTTATTCCGTGTAAACGCTAAGGATAACCCGGGAAAGTCTGAAGAAGACTTATTTCCAGTGGGGTCCTTCTGATGGTGGGGATGGTGGTGAACACGAACATTAAAATAAGTCTTGAAGGATTGTATGGTGATTTGACAACCATGAGGCAAATACTACAAATCTTAATTGTTATTTGGTTCCGAGAAGAACGGTTTGGATTGTAATTGAACATTGTTGCTGCTATTACTATTTTCATTACTATTTTATTAGTGGTAAATATATTATGAATTAATGATGTTAGTTTATTTCACAATGCTAAATACTGATGTTTACCATTATCTGCTCTTCCATTGTTAGAATCTTCCTGTGTTAAAAATGTTTTTTTTCTTTTGGTAATGTTTTTTCTTTTGGTAATGTTTTAAGGTGCAATGAGTGTAATAAAACAAAAATATCGGTTACAAAGAGCAAACCCATATGGAGTTTAATTACATATCCAATGCCAGTAACTTTTAGTTTAGAAATATATTTGTCTAAACATATTAACGGCTAATTCATACCTCTATATAATACCATACTTAAATAACTTTATTTTTGTATATTGTGTTGTGACTGTATTTTGTGTATATTTTTGTTTAAAATATGTTATAAGTTTAAAAAACTATATATTAATTAACATTTGAGGTTTACTATAGTGTACTATGGAGCGAGAAAGAATATGTACAGTATAACATTTTATTTTAATATAGATTTTCCTTTTATAGACATACTGTCTTGCAAATCTAACTTGGAAATTTACACAAATTTTTGCTATCATACAAGGATTTTCATCAATAAATCGTATAATGGCATCATTTGTAAATCATTTAACAGATATTGTATATTGTTTTTTTATCTGATTGAAAGTTAGTACGGTACCTGGTGTGATTCTTTTAAGCAATTACATTTGTATTAACATTTTTGTTTTGATTTGACAGTATTTAGGTTTTTTGATTGTTATAGCATTATAACTTTCTATACTTTTCTATATTGATTTGGGGATCCATCTTGTCATTGCATTGTCATGCAACTGTATTTGATTCCAGGACAATAAATTACTGTCTTATGATGTTTACCTAATTGCTGTACTCGATATTTTTGTCTTTATCTGTATTGTCCATAGTTGTTTATAGTATTAGTGCCTAAAGATAATAAAAATTTATAAAAACACATTTACGCAAATCCACAATCACTATAAAAAATGTACCGGAACAAATGATATGACAGATACAAAATGTTTCAGAAAACCCCATTTATTGACCGAACGATCATACATGACAAACTTATGGAACCCACCAACATAACCTCACACACCATCAGCACTTCAACCACCATCTCTTCATACCTCATCTCCTAATCTATCTTTGACAATATATGTAGTCATGATATGCACTTTTGTGAGCAAACTGCATTTAGATAATGCTTATTTTCGATTAATGTATTGAAGTCATAGGAGTATTAGTGGGGGCTTGTCTAAGCTATGGAAGTTAATCATTTGGAGTGTTTCGAGCAGTGTGCATTGATAAAATATACAAAAATATATTCTTGGGCAATAGCAGTGGACATGTCTAGGTTACCTAATATATTATCAGTGTTTTGGACAGTATGCAACTATTCCATCATGTATGTTTTACTTTGTTACTTGGGGGCTAGTCTTAGATACAGTTATTCTACAGTATTAAGTTGTTTTTTTTCTGTACTACTGGGTATGTCTTGTATTTTCTTTGTTTTGGGCAGTGTTGGTTGGAGTATCTAAAATCTATTCTCTATTTATTTATTCTCTATTTGTATAGGTTGCAATTTCTATTTCCTTAGTTTTTTAGGAAATACTGGTAAGCAATTCTAATTACAATGTACACAAAATATAATGCATACAGTTAACAGAAACATGAATGGAATGAAAAGCTTAGGATTTTTACATTTTCAACAAGATTAGCTGGATGAATGTGGACTCAAATCTACATTGTTACATAAATTTGGGAACGTTACGACAGACGGCAACCTACTATACAGGCCTGTTACCAGGTTCAGGGGATAAAATACAGTAGTAAACCTAAATCTCACCCGAAAACCTCTCTAGTTACGGGCCTGCTATAGATGGAAAATTGACAGACCATTTTACTACATATTTTTTCACTGGATAGAATATTGATCTGATAAAACAGGGTTTCAGTTGTTTATTTCTGCATATCTTGTATTGTTTATGTATAAGCTTTTCAAAATAGTCTAATGCAGTAACATGATTGTTGAAAAGACCTTGTTATGATTGCTTAATACACCCTTATTTTTCAAATGACATTTCATCTAAAGATTGCTTTTAAAAATTATAAAAAGTACCCTGATTCAGTCATAAACAAAGATACCAAGATATAATCAAAGTGATATGCTTCTAGGTTTCCCTTATCAATTCCACTCTGCTAGCTATATGTTTGTCCCCAAACTGAAAGTAATCCCTCCACAATGGCGGGCCAGAGAAAAAAGTCATTAGCCAGTAATTTGAAGCTATATAACAACTGTTACCAAAGCATTTACATAAAAGTTATAACTAAATAAATTACTTACAAACCTTTGATAAAATATTATAAAACATTTATAGAACATGTGTAGGGCACTGTCCTAAACTTTTTTAGCACTTAAGGAGGGATTTGGTTTTTTTTTTTTTTTCCCCACAGGAACCAATAGACACTAAGCCCTGACCCTTGAATATTGTTAAAACATGCATAAACATAAATAACCACAACTTAGTGTAACACTGTGTGTGTTTGTGAGACGAGTGCATATTCCTGGACCTGTTGTGGTTGGTCAGTTATTTGACACACTGACAAGGTCAAGTTTTAAATCTATAATGGCTTGCAAAGAACTCGGATCAAGTTCAACAATAACAATCTCTGTAAGAAAACGTTAATCGATGAGTATTAAACACAGGGTAACAATAAGTTAAACACAATAGTTATGGAAGGACGTCAGGCACAGCACAGAGAAAAGTAAAAAACATGGCCATCACAACCTGGCATGACAAGAAAGCAGAAAACTATATACATACTGACCAGTGTTTATTTACTAATAAGTCACTTTGAACACACTCCACAACAGGCCTCCGACATCACAACACCCCACCTGCACTTTATATATCTCGCACAAAAATTATTATTATTAAAAATATACATGATAGAACGTAGGGAATGCAACATAAAACCAACAATCTCCACGCCCTATGTAGTTGCCTTAAAGTATCTTCTGAGCAATTTTTCATTCTGTTTTGATTAATACCTCAATGTTCATTTCATTATAACTGTGTATGTACTCGCATTCTCATCTGAAAAATAAGTAACAGAAATGAAGGGGGGTGTTAGGAAAAAAACTTTAAATGTGAAGTAATGGTGTTGTTTTTAAGTTTTGAGAAAAAAAACCCTGACATTTTATAGGATTCATAAACAGAACTCTCGGACTGAAACTCAAGCATTAACTTACCCAACAACTTCCAATAATTATTATTATAGGTCAGTGGTGACGTCATCACTTTTATTTGCACTGAGTTTTCCAATTCCTGACTGATCACTAATCGATATAATGCATCTGATTTTTTGCGTTTCGTGTTCAAAAAAGCTCAAAGCTGGAGTGATTTTACCACAGTTCAATACAATGGAATATTTCGTTGCTAGGGCAAGCTATGAATGTACACAGCGGACCTAACAAATCATAAAATCGTTGTTGTTTGTCAATAAAGATTAAGAAAAAAAAAAGAAGGAAGTGCGCACACCTTTAATTGTTTGTAAAGCATAGTAACTTTCTTCAAGAAAATTTTGAACCATCTGTAACGTAAAAGAAAAAATAACAGAATTAATTAATTAATTACCTGTACTACCAAATTACATATATAAAATATATCTCTCCAGTAAACATACTAAAAATATATATAAAAATATTAAACAAGTTATTAAAAAAGATATACTAACCTCATCACTAACTAACACATGTATCCCAGTTGGACCTTGCCGAATTACTTTGGAAATATTTTCAGGGGCAATACTATATAAATCTGACAGTTTAAGTTTCAACTCCTCTAGGCATGGACGCTCCAAATAGACTGCATGGTAAACTACACAAAAGTATGAGATGTAAGAATTATAATGAGTAATAAACAAACGCTTAATAAACAAATTGCCATTCGATATTCATCTAAACATGATTAATAAAAACTATTTCCTACCACTTTCTGATTCTTGGCACACATAAATTGTTAACCTTGGTCTCATATGCCTGTTGGAAAACAAAAACATGCATTTTAAAGTGACAGTCCCACATGCTTGCATCACAATATTATTAGTGAGCCCATATTCATAATGTTATGTATAAACATCCTTCTATTCCTATGTTTTGATTTGTTGTGTTACAACACATGGTTGTACTGTACTTATCCATTCAAGAAAGAAAGAAATGTGTGGCAACTTAGCACATATCATTTTCTCATGATACTATATATTGTAATGAAATGTATATCTGGACATTTGACCACTGGCACATAGATGGACCGATGTGGTAACATGGAAAGAAAGCTAGAGGGCATAAGAGTATTCTCCTCACCTGTCCTGAAGCGCATTGTTGAGCCTAATACCATCAGCAGTACCTAAAATTTGTATCAGCTCATCTTTGCTTAACCGCAAGAGATCAGCACCTGAAAATAAGAAACAAATGCTACAGTTCAATCTTAAAAATAAATTGATAATGATAATGGTGATTATGATGATGATGATGATGATGATGATGATGATGATGATGATGCTAACAAAATGAAATATATCACAGTTTACCTGAGTAGTTTTGGAACAATTTACAATAAGAACTAAATCTATTCTTTTTTAACCATTCTTGTGTCTGTACCTGGGTTGCATGAGAGCTCAGAGGCTGAAAATAAATACATAAAATATTTAAAATCACTATGTGTTATCGTAACCACCACCATCACTATCACAGCCCAGAGGTGGATCCAGAGTGCTTCTGCCAGGAACAAGCGAATCCAAGGACCAAAGTCTAAGTGAGATGTTTTGGAAGGCTACTCTGGCTGAATGCTTGGAGCTTTAGCCATATAAATCATTTATATAAATGATTTTAAGCCACAACACCAAAACCATCACAACTACAACCATCACTAATACCACCACAACCAGTACCACCTATCAATACCCTCACAACCAACACATCACCCATAACATCACAACCACCAACATCACAAATACCATCATAACGACCATCATTATCAATACCATTGTCATATTTTCAGTCCATGTCGTGACAACTATTACAACAATCACACATACAGAATGAATTTAAGGTGGTTGGCGAATTTTTGCCAACCTAATTTTTTCCAAATTTCATGGGCTGAACCACCTTCATCAATACCACCAAGACCATCATCATCACATTTCCCAACCACCTTTACTTACATTAAAATCAACACCAGGAAGTGGTTCATTGTTATCTTCAGCCTCCCTTTTATCATTACACGAAAGAGATGAACTTGAAAGGAAAAAAAACAATTCAGTATAAATTAAATTCAGCCTCACATTGGTCATTATGGGTGCATGTAGAAAATGTTCTGATGTCATTTATTGTGATCGTATTTGTGATGGTGCTGGTTGTGATGTTATGGGTGATGTGGTAGTTGTGAGGGTATTGCTGGTGGTGCTGAGTTTGATAGTACAGTATTTGTCATTTATACCATTTATAGTTCAACCTATTAGGCTAAACTTGGCATCAATTTCCACATGTAGATGCCTGTCTACATGTCCACACCAGAACTAGCTATTTGAATATTAAAACCCGATTCACACAAAACAAAATGTTACATGGGAGGCATTCTAAATATTAAACAGTCTTCCCTAGATAATTCTATCAAAAATCACCATTGCTGATTTTAAAACTTGTTGTTACACAGACAGTGAAGAGATGCGTGACACCACAGTGAAAGATCAGGTTCACCACACATGAACATTAAGAATATTGTTCTTACCAATCTAGAGACAGAAATGTTGAATCGCTTTCATAAACCGATGAACTTGCAATAGATGTATTGGCAATATTGTTATCTTTACACACCTAAAATAAACAGAAAAATGACACATGAAATAAAACAAAATGTTACGACATTCTTATTTTCTATTTTTACAGACATTCAATAAACCAGAAAAGAAAACCCTGCTACGGTGGACTTTGAAATACTCAGAGAGTCATGATTGGATGAAAAGAAACACGAATTTTCTACGAAAAATGTTCTACTTTATCCTCCAAAATACTTAGCAAACGTAAGCCTATATTTCTTTAAATAATTAAATAGAAAAATGACACTTTTAAAATGTTTAAATTAACCAGTATTCATAACTGTATAAACATCTTGTGTAGAGTTGAACCATGTGCTTTAGAGCCTAGAATATACAAGCCACAGATTTAAGAAATCAAATCTGTTGATGTTTTACTAACCTTAGATTCAATAGGATTTAAAAACAAATTCCCAAGACTGAGTTCCCTAAGCACCGTGCAATCATAAGATGGTTGGTACTTGTCTTTGTCCACTTTCTTTTCCATTTTTTCTCGATCTGTTTTATGTTTTCTGTCAGCTCCTTTTGGCTATGTAAAATCAAAGCATTTTAAAAAACGATTAATAGTTTTAGTGATGCATTTTAAAGAATATTTTCTAAAATCACTTTAATGAATAAAAAATATACTGATTTGTTGGAATGGAATTATTAGGATTGGACAACTAGGATTGTTAACCACTAAGTTACAGCTCTGCTCTATAACCCATGTTCCTGGATGATGAGAATGATCTCATCCACCAAGCTTCAGCCACAATGCCCAATCCATGCTCTTGTATGGTGGGAATGATTTTAACCGCCAAGATATATGTACGCTCCATAATCTATGTTCTTCTAATCTGGCTCTTTCTCTTCACCGCCTGTGTCTTGGATGTGTAAACAATCTTAACTACTAACCGAAAGCGCCACTGCCCAGCCCACAACCCATCCTTTTGGTTGGTGGGATTACAACGAAGCTAAAGCTGCTCCACAATTAATGTTCTTGGATAATGAGAAGCTCCACTGCAACATAATATGTTTATTTTATTTAACATGTGCGATTCCTACCTTAAATACTTTAACCTGACAGCTAGCTGAATGTAAAGTTGTGTCGATGCTGTCTTTCTCATTGATGTATGTGTCAACTTGGATTCGGAACACCACGCCTTTCTCACCCCCATGCTTCTTGGCAGTGAACTCTGTACTTATACAATGCACCTGGAAGAGCAATCAAGTTACATTCCAATCAAACTTAACCCAGTGGCTAAAAATAAGTTTAGTATTCCTAACTTAACTGATATTATATCAGTATTAATTATATAAATTTTCAATACTAAATATATACTCAAATATGATAACATCAAAGCTTAATCATGAATTTCAGTTAATGCAGCGATGACCTAACCAAGGTTCCATTGGTTTTGTTGTTATCACAGACAAATATCAAAGTTTCAAAGTACAAATTGTTATTAGGTGTATTTCTTCAAGTAATTTCTTAAAACCTCATATTAACAAAAAATCAACTTAAAACATGTATATTAAAATTTATCTAAATGATTTTATTCTCTAATAGTATTACAATTATCATTATCATTATCATTGTTGTCATTATCATTAAGTGACAGATTATCATTATTATTGTTACTAGTACTTCACCTGTATATAGCACCCTACAGTGTTCCTAGGATCCCAGTGGATTTCAATTGTGTTCAGTTTATTTGGGATGTTGTGATATTCTAAAATGTTATACGACAGCGGTACATCAAGTTTGAGGATTCGTTCACCGGGACGATTCGTACGCCAAGCTTCTAATTGTTCCTCCTCAGAATATTGTAAGCGTTTGTCATGAAATAAAACCCTGATATTACTCTGTCAAAACAATTGAGATTAGAATGATAAAAAAATTGAGTTTCAAGCCTCCCTTATATGGAACAAGGGGATTCTAAATGATCAGCCTTGATGGATGAGCTACTTTCTTATAACAATAATTTGAATAAAAATATACTAACAACATTTTTAAGTAGAAACAAATTATGTTACAATATATCTATCATTATAGCACATGCAGAAACAGGTGTTAAAAAGGGGAGAATATTCAGACACAGATGTGCACAAAATATCTAGATACAAGTCTCCTTCTAATGAAGGACCCCTCCAATTAAAGATTACCTCCAATTAAAGACCACTTTTCTGTGGTCCCAAATTAACAAACCTCTTTTATCTTTATTATTCTAATTAGAGACCAAAGCTGCTAAAGACCATGGAAACCTTGGTCCCAAAAGTGGTCTTTAATTGGAGGGAGTCCTGCAGTTGTGTGCACAAAAAAGCATAATATACTTATGCACAAAATTGACATGCCAATTATTCATTCGTAAGATTACCTGGTCAAAAAGAATAAACAACATGTCCACTTCAATACTAAACTACAATGGAAGAGGTGTTTCATGAAAGGAAAATATACTTGTCTGGTGATTATCATTTGAAAACAAGTTGTCTCTCTACCTTAAACGATTTGCCTTGGTACTTGGCCGTGTCCCCAAGGAATTTAATTTTCAGTTCATATGACTGGCCTTGGTTCAGATACGTCAGTGTTTCTTCATTGAGTTTAGTTGCTGGGGAGGTAGCAGCGTTTAAGATGCATTGAAACCTGGCGTAAAACAAAAGAAATTGTATTTAGGAAAATGCACATCACATATTACTATTTGTAAAAACTGTTTATTTTGGATATGTTTTTTCTACATTTGAAAAGTTCACTGAGTGTGAGAAACCTATTTGATAGTGGTTGAGTATTCTACGGTAATCATCACTTAAACAGTGATGAGTTCAATGTACGGAAATCGTTGACCTGTGTTTATTTCATTTCATTAATTTCGTCATTAAAATATACATATAATGTGTTATATTATCTTTGTTGAAATTTTTGGCCTGTGTTTGTGTTTCTATGTTACATTTTTAATTTGAAGGCAACCCCAATTTAAAAGTTTTTCTTGTTACATTTTCAATTTGAAGGCAGCCCCATTTCGAGAGTGATCGACCTCACTCTATGGAAATTGTTTTTCTTTGTGGCTGTGTTTTCTGTATGTCAGAGAAGGATGCGTAGTATCTCAATATGCCATAGTCATTCATGAACTCATACAACTTGCAATTTACCAAGGCCACATCAAAAACAGGAAATATGTGAAAATTATCAAATAGCAAATAAAGATTATGAATTGACATTAACAGACCAAAAAAAAAAATGAAATACAAATCACCAACATGAACAAAATTGTGGATCTTGATACAAACAGCTCATATGTCAAAGAGGAAGTGTTACTTGAGCCATTTTCATATACATGTATATTTTTAGATTTTATACACCTACTGTTGATGATTCAATAATACCAATCTCATAAATTAACAAACATTTTAATAAATTTGATTAATATTCAAAAATATTTGCAGGAAACCTATTAATGAAAATATGAATAACAAAACTCAGTTAACAAAACTACAACAAATAAACATACAATACAATTCCTCCATATTTTACACTTAAAGATCGGTAGTTAACAAATTATGTTAACGAATAGAAAACATTAAATAAAAGATAAAATATTATTTGATGAATTAATGTTAAATAAACTGTTTATTTAATAATGAAGTATAAATTACCCTTCCTCTATGGTTTCCTGTTTGAAGATTGGTAGAGCCAACACCTCACTAAAACAGAAAATTGAATTACATTGATGAATTTAAACAATAACAATTTTATAAATCACAAAATAACATTTTCAATTTTTCCACTTTCACTTTTGAAAGTGGAAATATGCTACATACTTAGACAATATTACCAAAACATTTTATATGGTTGACAAACAATAAATGTAAATATTATGTAACCAAAACCAATTGTAAACTGAATGTAAAAAATTAATGTAAATACTCTGTACTGTAACTACATCAACTGCTCAATTAATTAGATATTTAAATGCTGGTGATAAATGGTTGGTTGTGCTTTCATTAAATTGGACAATACACTTCAGAAAAATATCTGTTCAAATACACTGCTCTGCTTCTGTTGTGAAACTATAGGCAGTAGGTTAACCACAGTGGATGCAATAGAAGTAGACACGGATCTAGCGCGTATGCAAACTGGAGTGTATTTAGGCCCAATAAAAAAAATCATAAGTTTATCACCCTTTTCTATGGAACTGAAAGAAAACAACATTTTTGAAGATTTTTTTTTTAACTAAAAAATATTTTGTCAATTTTTTTTTAGTAAATAGTAGATATTGTTTTTATTATCTCAATCATGTTTTACTTTGAATATCAATGCACCAGCAAACAACCCAAGGGTGAATTTTTTGTTAAGCCTCCTTTAACCATAACTTTTCAAGTCTATTGCTTATCATTCTGCGATATATATTACGGTGCTTGACATTAAAAATCTTAGCCTTATATATATTTTCCTTAATCAATTCTTTGCTTTAAATCCTGTTTTTATGTAAACCAATAAATTGTGAAATTTATGAATATGTTTGTATTAACTAGTTCAAGGTCTTTTAGCCATGTAACAAACATAGAAACATACAATAAGCAATCAAAATGTAATGTTGATATGTACTGGTAGAAATGCTGCTGCCAAGTTATCAGACTTGGCAGTGCAGTAGCACTATGTACCTACATGTAGCTTAGATATTATTTGCTTGGGTATTACATGAACCTTTTTTAAATGCACAGAGCACAGTTGGTTAAAACTGGTGGGAGCAATATGTGTGCACTGAACCATGGAGATTTGCAACTCTTACTGTATATTCCTTCAAGCTCTCCCACTGAAATACAGGACTAATAGAGAACTACATTTCGAAACTGATGAATTAGCCGTTGTACAACATGACAATTCTTCACAAATATGAGGTATACTTCAAAGAGAGCAGTCAATTATCTCCAATGTTCTATCTAATCTAATACCAGAGGTGGCACACAACTGTGCTTCCCAATAAGTCACCTGAGCTATACTCTATTGTTTATATAATCTATTATAATTTTGATTGCATTTGTTTCATTTTCTTCAACATTGATAATAAAATTTAAAACAGATATCTACAATCTTCAGAATTTCAAAATAATAAAATTATTTTATTTTGGAAGAAGTGTGTGAAATATATATTACTATAATGGCAAAAAATGATATGGTATGATATAATATATGATAGTATAATCACATTTTATTAGTTCTTATGAGATCGGTTAATATGAAAACCAAGTCTACATAGATGGTAACTGTACCTCATGTTGTAAGCTCCGGTGCCTAATTCCATCCCTAAGCCACTCAGATTGTTCTCAAATTCCGCCGCAACTTGAGCCAATCCATCATCAATTTCACCAATTCGCCACGCCATGTCCACCATCTGACAGCTGTCTCAGTAATTACAATTTTAGCTCTTCTCAAGTCTCTTGTCTGTTTAAACAAAGAAAGAAAAACAACAACTAAAATGTCATCCAGTTTGAAAGTTTGTTGGTTGCGTTGACGGCTTGGAAACCTACCAATGTACTATTATATTTTATTATTAACACAGGTTAAGATATAAATCCGTCTGTGCATTTAAAAAAAAATATGGGGCGATTTCCGTGCAGATTTTGCTCTTAATATTATAACCATGAATTATACAGAAGTTACAATTCTGTGCATCTATTTTCTGTGCAAATTTAAGCTAGTTTTATCATCGTGCAATGAAAATACTTTACTGTATGGAACAAATGTGATAGTGGTGGGGTTTAATCATGGAGCAAAACAAAAATGTTATAGGCCTATAGGCCTTGGGGCCCGACGCCATTACTAGAATGCCAGACTGTATAGTAAGGCCTGCGAGGGGAATATATCCTCCGCGCAAAAATTTGGCCTAGAAATCTGTCTGTTCATTTCGCATTTCTGGGGAAAAAAATGGTCATTGGTACAACAAATTAAGGTTTGAGGTCTAGCTAGGCCTAGCCTATATCTATGGTTTCACTAGGCTAACTCACCTGCACGATAACCTAGGAAACAGCCAATTTGGACAACAGTAGTTCAATAAAACAGAAGTACTGTTGTAGTCACCAACTAAGTTAGGCCTGGATGGATCACTGGCCTAACTGGGCATTGGTACGTAGGTAGGCCTAGGCCTAAGCTTCCACCCAGTCCTCTAAGCGAATCATACTTAGGCCTCTAGGAGGTTGAGTGCTTTCCTAGGGCTAGCTAGTCTACTAGACCTAGGCTTAGCCTAGACTTGAAACATACCCTAAAAAATGCCTTTTTCTCAATTACATTTCCTATTAATACTTGCGATATTAAAAACTGTTTTATTAAACAAACCTAGATCTTGAAGTGAAAAAAAATCGATGATTAATTCGCTGCATAAACGCACGAAAATATTCAATTTCAAAATACAATTGAACATGTCATCAAAACAGGGCGCCCTCTTCTACCTGGCTTTGTTTACGTACTATCTTTCCACCATGCTTTCGTTCCAATATTTCGTTTTCGTTTAACTTTTAAGAACAAATGAGAAACAAATTATACTTTTTGTTTTTTATTTAAATGGAAAGATGGTGTGTATAGGCC